ACATTTAAATACGTCAGCTGGAATTTCAGCATGCTCCTACAAGCCCTCGGCACACAGCTGACGCATTCTGGGACAGGAGCAATTCTCCGAAGCGAGATCCGAGGCTGGCACAGATGACTGATGTAAAAACGATGAAAATGGCAGCGTTTTCGCCCATCCCGGGTGTGCCCTGGTTTATTTTTAAGAAGGTGACCTCAGCACTGCCACGTTATGTCATGCAACGTGCTTACGCCGCTGCCTCTGATCTTGGAAAGTCTTCTGAGGGGATTGCAAGTTAAAAATAAATGGGAGGGAGGCAAAGGAAAGCCTCCCAGTGACTCATATGTTACAAGCCCTGCAGCGAGGAAAAAAATAATACAGATATTCAGCTTTTCCTGTGAAGGAGCCAGCTGGTGGGTATTGCACCGCTTGGGGAAGTTTATGGGAAGCTGGCGTATAGCATTGATGGGAAAGTATTTGTTCTGGCAGATTTATGGAGGGGCATCGTGTTTTAAAGGAGCCCAAACACCAGGCTGTTCTCATCTGTTTGAAAAACAGGAGATTTATTGATACGAAAGGACATAACGAGCCCTTTCTGCGAAGGGTTACGGCTCTTCCCCGCGCTCGTTCGCCCGGACACAGCAGCGAATTGTTCAGCCCGGAGGCACAAACCCAGCGTGTCCTGCAGTGCCCGCTCCCAAGGCACAGGGACGTTTCTAAAACAAATGCGGGGCTGAAACCGAATCAGACAGCAAACATCTTCCTCGAACAAGCATGACTCACTTTTCCCATAAAGTAATCCAGCAGGGGGGCCCAAATAACCAAACTCGATTTTTTTTTCCCCTGCTTCAAAGCACTTTTATTATCAGTGCTTATCCCAAAATGAAAAAGTATTTCCAAAAAAGGTTATTTTTCAATTTTTTTTAAAATAAAAGCTGTTCTTTTTACCTTCTAGTTCACCTGGGTGACGTCGCCAACCCTGGGAGGCGGCGAAGGCACATTTTTGGGAGTCATGTCCCATGTAGGTTATCTTCTAAAGATGCAGTGCATCATTGGGAAGGCATCAGCCTGCGGCCAGGGAGGGTCCCATCCGTAAGGCGCTTACGTAGGTCCTGGAATAGCAGCAAGCACACGGGAAGAAGTTATTACACTCCTAATCAGCTTGTAGCAGGTGGATGAACATTTATAGCCGTTTTAAGACAGTTGTCTAAAGTGAAGGAGGGCATGTGCAGCCTCCAATATTTTATATTTCAGTCGCTGCTCCCTGCAGAAGAGAAATTCATATTAAATTAATTTGGCTAATCTGCTTCCTCGAGGATCCAGCTTTGTCTTTGAAACACAACAAGAAAAAGACTTGCCTTATTTCCTACTTTCTCCCTGCCCACCCTCCAAAAAACCCACCTTTACAGTCCCTGGCCGGAGCCTCCCACCAGCAGGCAGATGCCCGCAGGATCCTATTGCCTCTAAGTCACATCTGCCCGTGGATCGCGTTGCAAAAAGACATCACCGGCGAGGAAAGCAGATCGAAACGGAGAGGCCAAACACCTTCCCAGCATCAGGGCTGCAATGAGTCTCATTTACTAGCGCAGTCATAAACCGATTGATTTTTTCCATGCTAACTTTGCACTCCTTGGCTTTGCAACAGAGCCGCATCTGTCCAAAAAAAAAACAACAAACAAAAAACCAAAAACCCCTCCTGGAAGCAACACGGGATGTTGCATGGAAAATTTGGGTTGCTTGCTTTTCCCCCTCGATGGTTCCTCTCCTGGCATGTTGTTTGTGCCCTTACGTGCCACCGGGATTAGGGACTTGCTGGGACTTCTCCCCATCACAGGTTGTGTAACTGCATGGTGACAATACTCTGGAACTGCCTGTATTTAATGTCCTGCTCCAGCCAGTTTTGACTCCTGGCCTGTTTTCATCCATGGCAAAAGGCTAAAAATTTATATTCCTTTTAGCTTTTCTTTTTCACAGGAAAACTTACAGTTGTCAAGAGCAAAGGAGAAACGCCGCCTGTAGGCTGCACTTCCCTCCTGTGCCCTTTAATACCAAATAGCAGCGCGGGCAAAGATTTCTACGCAGCGCACAGAAACCCCCTTCTTCTACTAAAAATGGGCCAAAAATGACATTTTGTTTCTTTCAGTGGGGAGCTGCCCTTCCTGGGGCCTGCAGGGCTGTGAGCCTCAGCGTAGCTTTACCCCATTCGTGCAATGGAGCCCTCATCACCAGAGAAAATGCAAAATACCCTAATAAGGCTTCAATTTTTTAACTACACACGGACATGGGAAAATTACAGCCTGACCGAGTAGCATCTTTCTTTTTTGCTGGGAAGCGAGTGCTCCTGGTGCTTCCCTTCCCCGCGCTCCCATTTATTCGCCAAATTGCATTTTCTCTCCTCTCATCCAGGCAGGAGCTGAGTATTACAGAGACATCTGGTTCCCAAGAAAAAAACCAAATTAGAGCATTTTAACTTAAAAGAAACAATTCTGGGGCGAGACCAGAACATAAACCAGGTTCTGCACGATGCATTTCATTAACCCGCTGAACGTAGCACTTATTTCCACTTATTTTTGCCTTTGGAGGGTTTAAAGAGGTTTCTCGATGAGCTAAGTGTGATCTGAGATTTTTTTCCCCCCCATCTCCAGGGAGTGACGGTGGGATGGGGAGAGGCTGTGGCTTCCAAACCCCACCAAATTACCCCCAAACCCCAGTAAATCTCCCTCAAACCATTTTAATGCCTTCCCCTGCCTTTCCAAGACACGGCTGATTCTCCGAGCAAGTCCACAGTTATGTGAATAAAATTGTTTTGCATGAATTAAAGCAAAAAAAAAAAAAAAAAATCAATGAAAAGCAATGAAGCGGGGTCAGATGAACCCTGGTCCTTTCCCAGCTCATCATTAACCCGAAGTCAGAGTTTTCCATTTGTTATGAGAAAAACCCATCCCATTAATGTTTTCTAACCTGGCATGAACTCCCATCGCACTTAACGTCCCATTATTTCCTTCGGCCCCCGCTGCTGCCTGAGCTGCAGCTGAAGGGCCAAACCTCCGGAGGAGATCAATGCAGCTCTTGGCTTGCTGCCGGGAGAAATTTTACCCCGAGATGCTAAAGAAACCGTGCGGCACACGGCTCCGTCAGACAATAGATGAAAAACTGGCCATGAGCCGGCCATGGGCGCTGGCAGCCCAGAAGGTCAACCGTACTCTGGGCTGCATCAGGAGAAGCGTGGCCAGCGTCGAGGGAG